CCCACAGTTTAATGAGCTCACCACAGTTTGAGAACTGTGACTTTCAGGGTATGATAGTCATCCCAAGGTGTGGGATGCAGTATGCTTCAATTTGAGTGTTGACTCTGGTTCTGGGTGCTGCTGGGTAGAATTCTGAGGGTGGGGCTAGACTCTGGGAAACTGCAGCATTTAAGAGTGATGCCTGCCATGGCAAAATAAAGGATGGGGCGGGGGGAGTTTGTGTGCAACATACTTGACATCTCTGAATATGTTAATCTCAGGAGTGGAGAGAGTGTCCTCATCCTCTTAAGAATAATCACAAGCCATCCTTGCAAAGGTTTTAGAGTCTGCAAGTTTTTTCTAAAATTTTCATGGAAATTCCAGGAAATGGAGTTTTCAGAGCGACATATGCAGATTTAAAAGAAAAATGATAACATCTTTTGAAAAAAATTTCGCCCACCAAAAGCTTATTTTACTTAATGAAATTAAGCATTAGCTAAATGACACAGGGAGATCAATTAATTGTGAATAGTATTTTTGTTTTACTTGTTACTAATAAGAGAAAGAAGAAACCTGGACATTCGTTGTAGCGTTTTGCATGAGACTTCCTTTCCTACTTGTGCTTTTTTCCTTTTTATTATTAAATATATTATTTATAATCATTGAAGAAATTTATAAAATACAGATGAGAAAAATATCACCTACAAGAGCATCACCATGTGATAATGTCTGCTAAAAGTTTCCTTGAACATATATAAAGTCTGTTTCTATATAATGTTGAGTGCAACCTTGAGAGGACGAAGCAGCTGCATAATTGTATAATTGAATGAGTTACTCACTTCTCTGAATGTCAGCCTTGTCATCGGTAGAGGAGGGACGACAACTGCCACCTGGCTTGTGTCTCCAGATTGTGTTAGGGTGTCTCACAAGAGCGTGTGTCTCCAAGGACAGAAACATGTAGGAATTATTTTTAACTTCTGAGGATTTAGCACAGTGCCTGACAAGCTGGAGGCTCTGGAGAATTTGCTGTGGCTGTTGTTGAGCTGCTCCCCATCTTAATTCACTGAATTGCACTGGTTCTCTGGATGATAACCAATGAACCCCTTGCTATAAAAAAAGGGTGCTCCTCAGTCCACATCCTTTCCATCTCTGACCTTTGACTTTTGTAATTTTCTTCCTGCCTTTCTGCCCTTTTGCTACCTCTTCTTTCTCATTTTACTCCCTATTTGTGGTTGTCCTTAAATTTCTAACTCCTTGCTTTTCTGTAAATTTCCTAATGAACTCATCTACTTTAATGGTATCAACCTGTCTTCTATCCTGGAAACTCTTAAATATTTATCTGCAGCTTGCTATATTAATGTTCTAGTCTCCAATTTCCCCGGTGTTTAATCGTTTTGTTTTTTTTTTTTAATTTTTATATGTCGGGGCTGGCCCCGTGGCCGAGTGGTTAAGCTCGCGTGCTCCACTGCAGGCGGCCCAGTGTTTCGTTGGTTCGAATTCTGGGCGCGGACATGGCACTGCTCATCAAACCACGCTGAGGCAGCGTCCCACATACCACAACTAGAAGGACCCACAACGAAGAATATACAACTATGTACCGGGGGGCTTTGGGGAGAAAAAGGAAAAAAAAATTTTATATGTCAGGGTCACAACAGGAAAATAATGGCACATTCAAAGTGGGTAATTGAGGACAGTTTAGAAAGAGGAATATTAACAAACCCATAGACAGGGTTTAGGAGAAGCAAAAAGGGATGGTGTTGCTAAAGAGAAAATAAAGACAAAGATGTCAGGGATTGAGTGGTGTGTGGAAAAGTGTTACTGTAAAGAAAGGGACTGGATCCACCATGACACTAGGCTCTGGGGGCTGAGAGTCGGGAAGGAGAAAGATGATAGTTCTTTTTAAACTGAGAGACCTCTTGGTATTAAGAGAGTGAAGTCTCTGGGTGTTGCTGATTAGCTGGGAGTATCTGGGCCTATCATTTAGATAAGAGCTTGCTAGGCGGCTGGAGGTGGTTCCTTCTATAAGCACGGAAGCCCATCTAGGAATTATGGGTTCCAGGTACCTCTGCTCCTTCTGAGAGATCCTGGCCTTGGAATTTTGGTGACCAGTGTCTCTGCTGATTATTTGAAGTGTACAAATCAGGATTCTATTGTGCAGTCAGCACTGCACCAGCATCAGCAGGCAAGGTGGCCAGGCCAAGGTTTCTCAGTCAGTATGTTGGTGCTACCAACAGCCAGGAGTAATTCCTGCTTCTGGGCCTGAAGGGACAAAGGAAGACAGTGGTTACAGGAAACCACAAAGGGTAATGGTATGAAGAACCTCCTGACAGGAGCTTTGGTGGCCTTTGGTGCAGATACAATCAACCTGTGTCAACACAGCCGGTTGAGAGCTGAGAGAATTCATAATCGGATCTCACTCTCTTTTACCCTTAAATCTCCAACAAGAAGCTCCCATTAGGGATTCTATTGGTCCAATCCTTACAGGTCAGCTTCCTGGGGCTGAGAACAGGGTGAAGAAAGGTTGAGAGTGGATGTGAAGGGACACATGGAAAATAAACAACAAAATGTCCCTCTCTTATCTAACTTTTACAACAACTCTTCTTATCTTGCCTTTCAGGAATCTATAGATTTCTGAGGTCTTGCTTTCTTAAACTCCCCACCCCGACTCTCTTAATATCCACCTTAGCTGCCTTAGTTGAGACTCTTTCTCTTTGCTTCTTAGGCAAAACTGGGAGAACCATTGGTAATAATAATAATCCATCCATTATGTTCTGAGTTGTGGCCCCCCAAAATTCAGAGGTTAAAGCCCTAACCTCCAATGTGACTGTCTTTGGAGATAGGGCCTTTAGGAGGGAATTAAGGTTAAAGGAGGTCATCGGGGTGGAGCCATAGGACTAGTGCCCTTATAAGGAGAGGAAGACACCAGGAATCTGTGTGTGTGTGTGCGTGTGTGTGTGTGTGTGTACGCACATGCATGCACAGAGAAAAGGCCATGTGAGGACACGGTCAGAAGGTGGCTATCTACAAGCCAAAGAGAGAGGCCTCAGGAGAGACCCAACCCTGCTGGGTGCCTTGATCCTTGACGTCCAGACTCCAGAACCGCGAGAAATAAATTTCTGTTGTTTAAGTCACCCAGTCTGTGGTATTTTGTTATGGCGGCCATAGCTGACTAACACATCATCATTTATAACACATCTTTTATTGAGCACCTTATATTTTAGTTCTTTGTGTACATCATCTACTATTACTTTTAACCCTCACAACCCTAGAAAGTAGTTATTATTAAGCCAATTCTCACAGACAAGAAAGCTGAGGTTCAGAGAGGTTAGTGGCTTGACCATGGTCAAAAAATAACTAGCAGAACTTTCTTAATGGACTTTCTGTCTATTTGGCTCTAAAGCCATTACTCTGTGCTGGTATCACATGAGAAAGGTATGTATTTTCTATGGCTCTGCTCTGGTTTGGTTCAGTTAGGAATAGTTCTTTTATGTTTCTGCAGCACCCTTCTCTTTTCACGCTTCTTGGGTTTCATTTATCACACAAACTAATGACTTTCAAGTCGATAACTTTAGCCTTCTCCTTCTTCTTTAGCTCCAGATGCATCCTTCCTACTATTTACTGTGCACCTCACCTGGATGTCCTGCAGGCATCTTAACTCAGTAAACAGTCACAAGATTGAAACATCTGCATTAGCCTAGACTCCTTCCTCTGTCATTTCAAAAAATTGATCCAATTGGTCACTAAAGCCTGTGCTTTTTATCTTATAATTGTTTCTCAAATGTATCATTTCCTCTTCATTTTCACTGCAGCTGCTTCCATAACTCAGTTCCCGGATTACCACAGTAACCTTCTAAACTGGTCTCAGTGCCTTCCAGCCTCCTCACTGCTACTGCAGGGGTTTTTCTAAAGACATGTGTAATAAAAAAATTGCCCTGCTTTCAGGTTAAAATACAAATTTCTTAGCTGGCTCTGATCTGACCTCCACCTTCCTCTTCAATTTCATCTCCCCAGCTAAATCTAAAAGCAAGTCATTTGATGTCATCTAGCCTAACATTTCAAAGACCACGCAGGTGTTAAGACTGCCTTAACTTGAATGCTGGCTTGACTTCCTACTAGGTGTATAAACTTGGGAAAATTGAACATATTTCATAGGGTTGTTGTAAGGATTAAATGAGCTAATACACACATAAAGAACTTGTATCTTGTCTGGTACATAATTTGTTAAATATTAGCTATTATTACCAGCTCTTTCAACCCATGCATTTGCACTGCTGGTTCCTCTGCTTGGAATACCCGTCACCTCTCGCCATCTGGCAATCCCCTTTACCAAGATTCAGCTCAGGGGCCACATCTCCTAGCAAGATTACCCCGTCCCTCCTCCTATCTCATTGCAAATTTCTTTGTTCCTGTAGCTATTGTTTGCTCACTAGACTGTGAGCTTCCTAAAGGTAGGATAGTTTTTCATGTTTTCTGGTACAACTTAAAGACAGGTGCATAATATTTTCTAGACGACTGCACACAGAACGCCCATGCGGAATGAAACCCGTAAATAAATGTTCCTAAAGTCTGTTTTGTCTAGCCCGGCGACTTGCCCCGAATAAGAGACAGGACTACCCTCAAACCACTTCCGGGAGGCCCTAAGACTTTAGGAAGTACCTATCCACCCCTGAGAAAACCAGGTTCGCTTTCCACTTTCCCACCCCTAGGAAACCCCTCGCTAAAAGCCTCGGGTCTTGGAATCGCGGAGGAATACACAAACTTCCGAGTCTCAGTCTGCGCCTGCGCGGGTGACCGCTACTCGGCTGCGCCCACGCCGCTTAGCCAGCGGGGGGGGGGAGGGGAGGGGGGGGGGGGCTCCCCACCCGAGGGTGGGGCCACCGTTCGCGTTTTAGGATTGGACGGTGGAAGCCAGAGCGGACGGAGCGGAAATGACGCAAAGGTGCGCAAGCGCCTGAGGCTCTGCCGCGCGGGGGCTGCTGGGTACCGCAGGGCTTTCCTTCCTTCGCCTGTCCCCTCCCCCCCGCCCCCGCCCCCTCGGCCGCTGTGCTCCCTGGCGTGACTCGGCACTGCGATCCCCGGGAGAAACGCCGCGGCCGCCGTCTCCTCGGTATAGGCCTCGGCTTTCCTCAGCCTCCCCGCTGCCTCTTCTGGGTCGTCTTCTCTTTCAGTTTCGAAGCCGGTGGCGTCGCGGCCGCCCTGCCGGGCTCTGTAAGAATGGTGGGAGTGAAGCCGGTCGGGAGCGACCCGGATTTCCAGCCGGAGCTGAGCGGCGCGGGCTCCAGACTCGCCGTGGTCAAGTTCACCATGCGAGGGTGAGCGGGCCCCGCTGTCCGCCCGTGCTTTCCCTTCACTCTTTCCCGGTCCCGCTGCCTTGCCGTCTCCTCCTGCTCCGGAATGTCCGGCGCTGGCCGCAGCCCCAGGCCGCTGCCCAGTTAGGCCTCAGCTCTTGGGTGTAACCCCCCCCCCCCCATTTGTGCATCGGGGCCTCTCTGGCGGGCACGGAGGCCTGGCCAGTGGTGTTCCCCAGCCAGGGAGATCCCCGCCCGCCCCTTTTGAATCGTGAGACCGGCTCTGTTCTTGGGGGTGATACGCCTCTATTCCTCCCAGTCTGCGGGAGTGACCCTTCTTCCCGGGGAGCCACCTGTCACTTGCATTTTAGAAACCCCGCAGTCTTAATTTACCGAACAGTTTGATTGTCTTCACCACCTGCATTTCTGTAAAGCCTCTGGGAGATTCAGATGGGGCTATCCGACTAATCCGCATAGTGCTTAGTCCTAAGGCTCAGCTAGTGCATTTTAAATTAAGTTAACCTTGGGGCAGGATGCTTTTTAATTCTTTTTTTAACATTTTTGTTAGTTCTTTGGTTAGTAACTTTGTAACTTGGCTCCCCTATGTATGCGATTGCATCCGATTGCAGAAATTATAGTAGGTGTGTATACGATACAGGTAGACAGGTGTCCAGACGTCTGGGTTTGACCAAATAAACTCCATTTTTGACTTGGTGATTTATAAGGACAGGGATCTTGGAAGATATTAACTGTCTTTGGTTAATCTCAACATAATTTATGGGTCGTAGAGCAGGTGAATCTTCCATATTGGGTGTGCAGTGTTCCTGTGTGAGAGTGACGTATTGGACCTAGGCTTTCAGAACCGAGATTACAGCGAGTGCGTGTATTTACTGAGCTCCCTTGTGTATGTCAGCGCCTAGTCAGAAGGATTAGCGGTCTCCACCTGCTTTATCTTGACTCCCTGGCGTTGTTTACACTTAGACTAACTTGGAGAAATCTACAGGTATCGCTGTTCATGTAACATATTTTATTGTCCAAGTAACTTTATAAACGTAAGGCAATATTTTGAATTTCAAAGCAAAAAGTGTAGTTCCGGGTACATGATTCAGTAAATGTTGAGTACATAAGTGGTGGCATTAGGATTAGGTAGTTTTAGGGGATAGAGGGATGCAGATAGCGATGAAGAAAAGCTAGGACTTTTTTTTTTTTTTTTTTGAGTTATTGATAGGTTACAATCTTGTGAAATTTTAATTGTACATTAATGTTTGTCAGTCATGTTGTAGGTGCACCACTTCACCCTTTGTGCCTACCCCCCACCCCACCTTTCCCCTGGTATCCACTAAACTGTTCTTGGAGCTAGGACTTTTTTTGCACCAGTTCTCTCTAGTACGGAATTGAAAAGGGGCAGTACATTGGATTTTATAGGGTGGAATAGAGTACTCATTTGACATAAACTTTCACATTTACTGAACTGAAGAGGATAAAGACTTCATGTATAAAGACGTGTCTAAAAGAAATGTCAAGATTCTAGTGCGTCTTCCCAGCTTTGCAATTTTGTAGTGTCTGTCTTCTTATTATGGGAGAATATCTACACATTTGTTAAGTACTTATGCCAAAGTTGGAAAAGGGAAGAGATAATTTTAACAGTGAATCTCATTTTTAGTTCACTTTTCTAATTCTAGTCAGTGGGAGCATTTATACTTTTTTTTTTTTTTTTTAAGATTTTATTTTTTCCTTTTTCTCCCCAAAGCCCCCCGGTACATAGTTGTATATTCTTCGTTGTGGGTTCTTCTAGTTGTGGCATGTGGGACGCTGCCTCAGCGTGGTCTGATGAGCAGTGCCATGTCCGTGCCCAGGATTCGAACTGACGAAACACTGGGCCGCCTGCAGCGAAGCATGTGAACTTAACCACTCGGCCACGGGGCCAGCCCCGGGAGCATTTATAGTTTTGTCTCCCAATGATAGATTCTTTTTTTCCCTTACCATAGTAGAGGGACAGATGACAAAGTAGTAAATAATTTATTAATCGAAGTGAGAAGAGTGGGGAAACATTGCTACTAAGGAAACACTTCCAGTAGTAATATGGTATCATTTAACCATAAACATAGCTACAGGCATTGATTGATAAGGCACTGTGTTATTTACTTTTAAAAAGGTATTTTGGTGGATGAAAATTTTTATTTTCTTTGTAAAAACTGAAAGCAAACAAAATGTTTGAATTTAGAAACTTTGAAGTTCAAAAGTATATTTAGGTAACATTCATAAGTCTCATAGGATTGTATTTGCCTTTAAAATTACCTTAACATTTTGGACATTAAATACATTCCTGCAGGAAATTTATGCCGGTGTGACCCCAGATTTACATATATGGGCATCGGTATTAGACTCTCAAACAACTATATCTGGTAAACTCATGTAAGAAAGCTCTTAGATCAAAGTTAATGTCCCATTTTAGGCCAAGAACATAGTTTTCTCCAGCAACCATTTCTTCCTAACCCTACTTTAAGCTTTATTGTTTATTCTGTACTTCCATGCTTTATCCATTCTATTAATTTCACTAAAACACTATGCAGATTTTTGCTCTTCTGTTTAAGAATCTTCAGTGGCTCTCCAGTATACTTTTTTCAATTTTTCAAATTGTTGTAAAATATATGTAACATGAAATTTACCATTTTAACCATTTTTAAATGTACAAGTCAGTGACGTTAAGTACTTTCACCGTGTTGTACCACTATCACCACTATCTTTTTCCTGTAACTTTTTCGTCATCTCGGACAGAGACTCTGTACCCATTAACAATAGCTCCTGAATCTCCCCTAACCCCACCAGTCCCTGGTTACCCCTCTCCACTTTCTGTCTCTATGGATTTGCTTATTCTTGATACCTCATATAAGTGGAATCATACAATATTTCTCCTTTTGTTTCTGGCTTATTTGATTTCCTTCCTTTTTAAAACTGAATAATACTCCCAATGTATGTGTATACCACATACTGTTTATTGATCTGTTGATAGACCTTTGGGTTATTTCTGCCTTTTGGCTATTGTGAATAATAGTGCTATGATCATTGGTGTGCAAGGATCTATTTGAATCCCTGCTTTCACTTCTTTTGGGTATATACCTAGGAGTGGAATTGCTGGATTATATGGTAATTCTATGCTTAACTTTTTGAGAAACCATCTAACTGTTTTCCACAGTGGCTGCACCATTTTGCATTCCAACTGGCAGTGAATGAGAGTTCCAATTTCTCTACATACTTACTACTCACCAACAATTTTTATATTTTAATAGCCAGCCTAACTGAGTGTGAAGTAGTATCTGGTGGTTTTGATTTGCATTTCCTTAATGACTAATGATGTTGAGCATCTTTTCATGTGCTTCTTGGCCATGGTTTATCTTTGGAGCAATGTCTGTTCAAGTCCTTTGCCCATTTTGAATTGGACTGTTTGCTTTTTTTGTTGTTGAGTTGTAAGAGTTTTTTATATATTTTGGGTATTAATCCCTTACTAGATAACATTTGCACATGTTTTCTCCCATTGGTTGCCTTTTCACTTTCTTTTTTTTTTAAAAAGATTTTATTTTTCCTTTTTCTCCCAAAGCCCCCCTGTACATAATTGTGTATTTTTAGTTGTGGGTTCTTCTAGTTGTGGCATGTAGGATGCCACCTCAGCGTGGCCTGATGAGCGGTGCCATGTCCTTGTCTAGAATTCGAACTAGCGAAACCCTGGGCCTCCGAAGCAGAGTGTGTGAACTTAACTACTGGGCCATGGGGCAGGCCCCTACCTTTTCACTTTCTTTGTTTTTTTTTTGAGGAAGATTAGCCCTGAGCCAGCTACTACCAATCCTCCTCTTTTTTTGCTGAGGAAGACTGGCCCTGAGCTAACATCCATGCCCATCTTCCTCTACTTTATGCGTGGAACACCTACCACAGCATGGCTTTTGCCAAGCGGTACCATGTCCGCACCTGGGATCCGAACCAGCAAACCCTGGGCCACCAAGAAGTGGAACGTGCGAACTTAACCGCTGCGCCACTGGACCAGCCCCTCACTTTCTTGATAGTGTCCTTTGATGCACAAAGTTTGTAAATTTTGTTGTAGTCCAGTTTATATATGTTTTCTTTTGTCGTTTGTGCTTTTGGTGTTGTATCCCAGAAGTCATTGCCAAATTGAATGTCATGAAGATTTTCCCCTATGTTTTCATCAAAGAATTTTATGGCTTTAGCTCTTAATTAGGTCTTTGATCCATTTTGAGTTAATTTTTGTATAAGGTGTAAAGTAGAGCTCCAACTTCTTTGTTTTGCATGTGGATATCCAGTTTTCCCAGCACCATTTGTTGAAAAAACTCTTTTCCCCAGTGAATGGTCTCGGCACCCTCCTCCAGTATTTTTTTAAGCAATTAAAATAGTCGACATTTACATATTATTTAATCTGTGTAAGGGAGCTGTTTAAGCACTTATATTGACTCATTCAATCCTCAAAATAATCTTTGAAGTTATCCCCATTTTACAAATGAGAAAGTTGAGTCACAGAGAGGTTAAATAACTTGTTTAAGGGTCCCATTGCTGAATGCACTATTTGGATTGTTAGGTGCTATCCTTGCTCTCCCAGCCTAAGCAGAAAGGAAATGCAGGTTCATCTCTGTGTATTGCCTAGAGCCTGACATTTTTCAGTAACTGTTGCCTTGAATGATTTAGCTACAGCTCTGCCTGCAAATTAGTCTTATGACTGAGGATAATTCAGTCCGCTCTCTGATATTCTCTTCCCTACCTGTAAAATGGGAATAATAGCATGTAACCTAACCATGTAATTTAAAGAATGAAATAATATATGTGAATTATATGCTGTGGTAATGTATTTTTGTAACTGTTCTCTACAAACTGTTACTTCCTAAATATACCCAGATATGTTTTAGTGGTTAGAAGCAGTGTGTTTTGTCATCATCATTGGTGAGTAAGCTCCAAGGTTAAAAGAATATACATTTTCTCCTCCATAAAACTCAACATGAATGATTTTTGTCTTGAATTCA